AGTGGTGGTGTTTTTGTGGTTTTTTTTCCCCCCCCCCCCCCCCGTACCATAATCTTCCCTTATAGGAAAAAAATGCATTTCTGTGAGATATCTTTTGAAAGAGTCCACTGTAACCAGTAAGTGGCTGATTTAAATAGAAACTTTTCCTATTTAATAGAATCAGATACAGAACCAAGTAAATAGAGTATTTTACATTTAGAAGGCAAAAGTAACTTACTAAATTTCAACAACTATTTCTTCATTATAGCGCAAAGAGCTTGGTATACTCCATTTAAATTCTGTAGCAAAATTTCTATTAGCATCTATGGCAGCACTGAAGGAATAACATCAGCAAAGGACTGGGGAAGAAAGAATGATCACAAGTTTTTCTAAGGACTCTGTTTTCCACACTGTTGGTATGATAGCACTTACAGACTTCAAAATAAGCAGGGCAAAACCAGTATTATATTTGATCTTATGGTGTTTTGATAGTAATTTCATGTAGCACGTTTAGCTTTCATTGCATAATTAAATGAAGATAAAATTTTGTTTACTACTTTCTACACTCAAATTGATAAACTTTTTAACATCTATTGTCAGCAGTAAAAGTTGCATCTTTCCCCTTAAGCCATCTGTTTGGAATAGTTGAAAACCATCTCTGCTTTTTTAACCTAATTTCTGATTTTTTGAAGCCCAAGAGATTTGCAGTAACATGAAAGAACAGGTATCTGGTAACTGAAAGGCTCTTTGTTCTTTTTCTCTCCTCAAAGAATAGACTTTATGAAATGAAACCAAGGGACTATGAGTAGGAATATCCCGTCCTTGGATGCTACCCTAGTTGTTGACTACTGGGTCTTTCTCAACTCTTGCTCTAGGTGCAATAGTTTTAGCTAATGATAATTCTGGCAAGAGTGCTAACTTTTCCAGTTACTGGATTAGATAAATAGCCAGCAATGTGACACAGCTATTTAAACAAACAAACAATAACAAAAAAACCCCAAACCCTAAGCATTTCTTCATTTGCCTTTAAACCCAGGTGGTGGTTAACCCCAGTATGTTGGACTACCCTCAGTTTATACCAGGGTAAATTCTACTGACCTCTGAAGTACAATATTTAAATGCCATTTCAGGAAAGCTGATAATTTATCCACGAAAGACCTTGCATCAGTCTCTCCAGCTCCAGCAAGTAATCCGGCAACTTTCAGATGTCTGCATTTGAGACTGTTCTCCAGGGATGTCCTTGGAAACTGAAGATTCATGATTCTTGTATCTAGTGATAATCGTACACATTCCTAAAGCATATTAACATGAAGAGACATAAAAGTTGTATTATTATAATAGAAACAATTTTAGTATTCCTTTCAGCAGGTGGATCTTTTTTATTATAAATGTTCCATCATCCCAATTCTACAGACTTTCATGTCATTAGTTTCGCTGAAGTGTAGTCATGAGCCTATAGATTATTTATATCTAAGCACCATACATGGCAAGGAAAAACTGCAGCCATGTTTTACACTTTAATTATAAAGACAGGCAGAAAAGGACTATAATATTAATTAGAGTAAGGAAATTTTCCTCGTTTTCTCATTAATCCTCCCAGCGCTCTTAGATCCAGGGAGGATTCTTCTGCTTTCCCTCATGTTTCTTACGCAATGCTTGCATTTTCTGTGATGTTTTCTACCAACAGAAAGGCCCACATTTCAGAGCTTTTGAAATCTAATTTCTCTGTAGTTTGGGTATGTCTGGTTTTAGCACCTTGGCTCTGGCTTTTCGTTGCTCTTGAGTTCATTTCTTCCCTCAAAATCTGGTGATCTTTCTGATTCTTCTTCCAAAACACTGTACCAGAGAGGGCTGTCAGTGCTTCATTTCAGGTATGGTATTACCACTCAAAGCACTTGCTCGGTTCTGGAGTTGTGGATCATTATCCCTGCTTGTCCTCAGCTGATTCAGTCCTCTGCATCTTTATCTTTTTTCCTGGGTCTTTCTCTGAGTCTTGTCACAAATGTCAATATGCCCGGCATTTAGCAATCAAAATGTCATGTCCACACATCCAGTTATAATGCTGTGTAGTACAGAAATAAAATGTAGTGCTGCCTTCAAGGCAGTAGCCAGTACTGAGGAGGAGTGAGCCAACACAAATCCAGCCGCCTGCCTGGTTTGCACTGAGGTGATGCTTTCAGACAGCCACGCAAAAGAGGTTCTTTGAGAAAGGTGGTGTGCTAGGCCTGACAGGGGAAACAAATGATTTCTGGAAATAGAAAAACACTCCGACAAGTGCAGTATCATGGAGCACATTGTGGCATGTGGCACACACATATCCTCATAAAAGCAATGGACAGAGATGGTCGAGATCACAAAGGACTTGCAGGAAGTCATTATAAAATGCTAGTGCCACACTGAAGGACATGTTTGGATTAACCCCCTGCAATACTGGAGGAGCATTGCTTATTGTACTGAGTCATAAAAATATAAACCAGTCTGTGTTTCTATTTTTTTATCTGTGTCTGGTTGTGTTTCTTCCTTTGAATTGAATATTCTTACACCATATGTCAGTTACTGAGTTTTAAAAATATTTTCGCAAAGAGAACTCGTAAAGGCCTTTTATTCTCTGAAAACTGTAGAAGTCAAGCATAATTTTATACTAATAGTACTACCATTTATAAACCAACTAATAGTTGTGTGCTGTTAATGTGGTTTTAAGAAATAAAACTAAACTCAAACAGCAAAGATGTCACTTAAAATTACTTTGGTTTATAATTCATTCTGAAATAGTAACTCTGCATATCAGTTGAGAAAAGCTTTTATGGGAGTGAATAAACAGATTCCCTAGTTGCTCTTCCCTCCTCTGCAAACATGTAGTTCTATAGCCTGAGGTTAACAATTGCCACCAGATATGTTTGCTAAAATAATGTGCAGTATTTAACTGGCTGAGAACATACTGTGCCAGTTCCTGACTTTTGTAACTTAATTTTTGAGGCTAATACTGAAGTTTTTCAAGCTACATCTATCTCTTCCTATGAGATAGATCAAAAGCTTTACTTCATCTATTTGTTTTCCTTGTCTAATAAATACAGCATTGGATACATGCAGCTATCATTTGGAATTTTATGTTGGTTTAAAATATGCAGTTGCTGCCAGCAAAGAAAGTTAATTATCATAATAGCACAAGGCATAAGGATGAACAGAAATGAACAGCAGCCACCCAAGGTTAACATCTGAGTCCTTGAGGTCTGGAATCTGTGCTTGAAACTCCAGGTAGATGAAATGTGTGTATTTTTACGTTAAAGGTCCTTGCACACGGTGATCTTTGGGTAAGTTCCCATTTGACAGACCTTACTCTAACAGAGACGTTATCATAATTTAATATGGAAGAGATTTCCAGAAGTGCCCTAACTACAGGATTTGGAGAAAGGAGTTGTACTGGAGTTTGATCTATATTTTCAAAGACTTCCTGAAGGTTTGTCTGTGCTTTGGATAACTTGTTATGGATTTTAAGGAGCTCAGCAGGATATTGACATTTGTATTGCTCTGCTAAGGACATACTTCAATGTTGTGAATATTGTAAGCAAAGCAGTTTCTTTTCACTGTCTTCTGCTAAGAATAGCCTTGCCTGTAGATTGATGTCTTAAGTTATTGGTATTGTCAGCAAACTATAATAATATTACTCAATTGAACGTGGTGGCCAGCCAATATAGTCTCCCTATACACTTTATTGTTTCCCATTGCAAGAACTTTCACCTGATACTCTACAAGCTTATTTAAGCACCAGTTATAACTTTGATTTTTATAGAGTTCAGGAAGGTATCTAGGCATTATGTATACATAAGCCATAGAATACCTACTTAACACAGATAAAAGTTGAAATGTGAAGTGTCT